ACAAAACCCATCAATCTCCCCCTTCCCCCTTCCCCCTTCCCTCTTATATTCAATCTCAGGCCCTCTCAATTGTTCTCTTCCTCTTTCCCCTCCAGTTCTGTTTCCATCTGGTTTCTGGCACTTGTTTTATTTGCCTTTCATAATCCTACCTGCCCTTAGATTTAATGCCTACATCAGATCCCCCTGACTCCTGATTCTTGTGTGCACCTCAAGGATTGTGCCTCAGATGTGCTCTTCTACTCTTTCTGCTTTGGACAACTACCTTAAGTAAGATGTCCTTTGACAAGCCTATGGAGCCCAGCTTCTAGTACCAGTTTCATCTTCCCAATTACATTGAGCTTCTCAGAACTAGAGATCTTGTGTGACATCAGGATATATTTAGGGTTCATGTGGCTGATAGTGGTAAGGCTTCAGTTTATATAAATGCACTGAAGACAATGAGGTGTGGGATTTGAAGAACATCGGAATGGGAGGGACGGATATGAGAATTAGTAATATATCAGTAAGAGCATTGCTGTAGCTCAGGTCCTGGGAAAGCTTTGTGACTTTGAGATTAAAGGGAAACAGGATCATTCCAGAGTCAGGGAACATGAGAGCATTAATATTACTTCCTTTTATTTGGAGGAAAGGCTGATAGGTCTTTTAAGACAAACTGAAGATTTCTTCTCCATATCTTTATTTTTTTTTGCAATTTGTTGAAGATCATAAGATCATTCATTTAGCAGTGTGTTCTGTATGTTCCTAGTAATTTGGTGGTTGGATCTAGAGAAGTAGCTTAATCAAATTTAAGCTTGAACTTTTAGCAAGACTACCTCTTAGTGTGTTCTTTCATCAGAAGGCATTTAATCTTTGATCATTCCTCTTTTTGTGATTTCGGCAGTCAGTGATGATCATTCCTTGGATGCATTAATAGGAATCACAAAGTAATGATATTCTATCATTCCTTCTTTCCTTATTTTCCAGAACACTTCTATAAAGATACAATTCCTTTTAACTGCTATTCATTTCCCAGTGAAACAGTGTATGTAGGAAAGGCAGGATAAATTCTTGATTTTTGTTCATTAGCATCACTAGTAGTGACCAATAATTTTTGGAAGCACCATTATGAACTCATGGATCTAAACACTTAATATGTTTCAATCATTAGAGTTATCCTCACTGATACTCAAATTGCCCCTATTTTGACCAGCGTGAACCCCATCAGCTTGGCTTCTGAGTCCTTTTGATGCAACTCGAGGATTCTCTGCTAGCGTCCTTGCTTTCTGGTAAGTAATGTACAGGCTCATCTGGTAGGTTTCTTGCCCCAGAACTGATATTGGTCATTGCTTTAAGAAGTCCTGGTTCCTTTGAGCAGGAGATAGAATATCAAGACCACAGCCTAGGTACTAGGGAGTTATTTTACCTTCTGAATTAACAGGAATTCCAAGTTAATCAATTACAATTTACATAAGTAATATGTAGGCTCTGATAGTTACTAATTGTGTGAAAAAGTTCTACAGATTTTCAGAAAATTTGTAGGATATATTAGTTAGGGTTCTCCAGAGAAACAGAAACTAATAGTTTGTCTGTCTGTCAAGCTATCTATCTATCTGCATATGTATATAATGGAATTTTTCATGAGGAATTCGCTTATGTAATTGTGGAGGCTGAGAAGTTGCACAATCTGCTGTCTGCAAGCTGGAGAGCTAGGAAAGTCAATGATGTAGTTCTAGTCCAAGTCTGAAGGCCTGAGAACCAGGAAATCTGGTGGTATAAATTCCAATCCAAGGAAAGGAGAAGACTGATGTCTCAGCTTGCACAGATAAGCAGGAAGGAAATGAATCCTGCATCCTCTGCTTTTTGTTCTATTAGGCTCTCAATGGATTAGATGACGATGACCGACAATAGGAGAGGGCAAGCTACTGTAATGAATCCACAGATTCAAATGCTGATCTCATCCAGAAACACCCTCACAGACACACCCAGAAATAATGTGTAATCTGGCCGGGTGGCTCAGCCAAGATGACACATAAAATTGATTTCACAGAGGGTATGTTTGACAATATAGGTATGTTCACATCGTTCTGTGGCATGCCCCCGAATTATCTCAGGAAGATCCTCAGGGGGCTTCTTCAACATGCAGGCTGTTACCCTCCAGCTGAGGGCTGAAGCTGAGGTATGAGAGACTATATTTTGCTTGTTCTATTTCCTCACCTATCCCCACCCCCATCAGCCTTTACCTCAGACATATTTTGTGGTAAGGTGAAAAACAGAGGTTGCAGGAAATCCTGTTCTCCGCTGACACTCCAGCTTATTGAAGGGGGAAGGGATGGTAAAGAAGGGATAGCTTATGCAGGCAAGAAAAGGGGAGAATCACTTCCTGCATATCCAAAGGAGCCTGGAGGTGGAGAAGAGAAGGGAACCCCCACCAGTAATGGGGACTTAGTGGCAGTGTGTGGGGAATGCTGGGTTGTCTCTGTGATAAATCTGAGGATGTTGACCACTGGCCTATGGGCTCAGAGTCTCCTTCAAAGCAGATTGAGCCCTGTAGGCCTGAAGAATGAGCACCTCCGTGTTCTCTGCTAACCACTGTCATTAATCAGAGAGTCCATCCAGATGTTTTGATGTTGTGCTAGAATTCTTGCATGATTTGGGGGAGGTGGGAGGGCCCCAGTATTGCTTGGGATTGAACTTTTCCCCAAAGAGTTAATTTGCTAAGGAACTATGATCTGAGTTGGTGTACAAAGTTTATGCCCCTCAACTCCCCTCTCCCAAACCTCAAGGACCTCACTCCCTCAATTAACACCTCTTTCCCCTCTCTGATGAGAGATACCTCGGCTGTACCTCCTCTGCTGGTTCCTTCCCCTCAGTATGTAAGCACATTCAAACCTCCCTCATTTTGAAAAGATCCCCTTCCCTGGGCCCCACGCCTTCCCTAACTATCCTTCCAACCCTCTCCTTTTCATAGGCATCTTGAAATAAAGGTCTACTTGGGTCATATCCATTTCATCCCTTTTACTCTGCTGGCTCTGGCTTCTTCACTCAGCACTCCATGGAACCCCTCTGGTTAAGGTTACTGAGGGTGTCTTTTCTGACCCTATTTCACTTATGTCTTCTGCGGTAAGAAGTTGCTTTCTGGAACCTTTCCGTCTCATTGGTATTTGTGACACTTCATTCTCTTTGCTTTCTTCCTTCGCTGTTTCTCAGAATCAGTGCGGCTTTTCTTCCTATCTGTCTTGGAATGTTGGTCATCACAAACCCTTCCCTGACCCTCTTCTCTTGTCTCCCTTGCTCTATATATACTCCCAAAAGAGTGACTGGCTTTATTGCCATGGCTTCAATCACCATGTCCGTATAGATATGTTGAAAATCTTTATCTTAAATCCAAAATCAGATGTAAAATTCAGTGGATTCCTGGACCGTCCTTTACTCCCCAAACCCAGCGAATTCATCACTTCCATCCCATCCTTGATGTGCTCCTTCTCCTAAATTCTATATATCAAAGAGTGAGCGGTCCATCCACTTTATTTTCCAAGCCCCAAAGTTGGGATTCACTCTTGACTCCTCCCTTCATCTCTTCTTCTAGCTGCCCCCATGAATGACCATATCCTGTCTATTTTACTTTCTAAATATTTTTAAATATCTCCCTCACATTCCATTCTCAGCAGTTCAGATATCAGGCGCTAATGTCTGCCTCCCATTCCCATTCACACTTAAACTTTCGCAAGTATCCCAGTTGGCCTTCTGACCCCTCATCTTACCCTTTTCTATTAATTATTTGCTTGTTATCAGCCTGATCTTTCTGAAATGCAAATTTCATGGTTACAGCTTTCATAATACCTTCTACTATTCCTCAAGTCACAGAATAAGGATTGGATTATATCAATGAGCACGCTTTGGCTATAAATAACAGAGTATGTAACCAAGAGTGGCTTAAGTCATAAAGGCTATGTTTTCTCTCATAATAAGTCCAGAGATGTGTGGCCCCAGGCAGGGGTGGTTCAGCAGCTCTGTAATGTCATCCTCACTGTGCTGGTGATGTCACCATTCATAGCCACTAGATGGCTGCTATATCTCCAATGATCACACCTTCACAAGACAACTTCAACACGCAGATTGAGAACAGTGTGCTCTCTTCCTGAGTGTCTCCACTTTTATCACGAAAGAAATGGTAGCTCCTGGCACATGATCCCTTTCATCTCATCGGCCAGGATTGGGTCACATGGCCATATCTGGCTATTAGAGAAGTTAGAGATGTCAGCATCGGGTACTTTCTGCCACCAAATGAAAACAGACCAGCAAAGGAAAACAGATGAGGTTGGCTGGTTGAGTAGATAACCAATAGTAATTGTCCCAGCTTTCAACTCCTGGAGTCCTTAAATATGTTCTCTCTCACCTTTATGCCTGTGCATCTGTGGCTTCATCATCTGGAATATAACTCCGTATGTTCACACTACTCCCTTCATCTGGCTAACTCCCACCCTTTTACAAACCTCAGCTCAGGCAGCACCCCACACCCCTGCATGATGGATTTTGTGCACATCTTGTGTTCTAGATTGTATCATTTACCCTACCCTGTTGTAACTCAAATTTTGGTTCCTCATAGTAATCTTCAAGTCCCTGAAAACAGGGTCTGAACAGGACTTTCCCTTTATTATAGCCACAGTCCGTTTTCTTGGAAGGGACTGGAATATTTTTTAATAATCCCATTTATGAATTTAAATATAAAGTTGCTACCTCTGTGATTCCTGACCCCTCCCCCATGGTTTTGTTAGCTGCCAATGGCCAGTAGAGGGCACCCTGGCCTTTGACTAAAGTTCCCTTTTGAGATCCTTGGATTCCTTTAGAATTAAGTTTGCTTTTATTTTTATTTTCCCTCAAAGAGGTGCTGATTTTGAGTTTCTTGATCAAAAAACTGAAATCATACATTAGTTATCTAAACGTACATTTTGTTTGCATAATGCACCCATGGAGTATATCTACGACATTCAGAGTTAGGACATACCTTCACTTACCTTCTGAAGTTTATGGCTAAAATGATACACATTCTAAATCCCCCTCCTGGGGCAGAGTTGCTGCAGCTGTTGAGTTCTTGACAGTAGCTGAAGTGGTCTGAAGAGCATAATCTGGTGTCTTGAAAATGTACTAACCATTCACCAGATCCAAAGACTGCTCCAGTCCCTCACTTTGTGGAAAATCACTTAGGCCACGTTGGCCTACAGTGGTTTTGATAAGCTGCAAGAGTAAAGGTAAATGTTATTTCAGGACTGGGGCAGGGGTGGGTTGAGTCTGGGTTGGGAAATGAGAATAGTGTATCATTCATTCAGTCAGCCAGTTTTTCATAAGTTTAAGTATTTGAGAAACTACCATGTGCCTGACATTATTCCAGTCACAGGGATATAGCAGTAAATAAAACAGATTAAATCCTTGACCTCATGGAGTTTATATTCCAGGGAGGGAGATAAACAAATAAACAAATGCATAACAAAATATCAGGGAAAAAAAAAAATCTCAGGGATAAAAGTCCATAAAGCTTGATAAAGGGCTAGAGAGAGGGGGAAGGTGCTGTTTAGGTAAATGCCATGGAGAGAACATTCTAGACAGAGGATTCAGCAAGTGCGGGGGCCCAGTGCAGGAGAGAGCCTGGTGTGTATAAGGGATTGAAAAGAGGCCAAAGGGGCTGGAGCAGGGTTGTGGAGAGCAGGTGGTGGGAGATAGGTCACAGGTCAGGAAAGCAGCAGGGGAGGGACAAGAAGGGCTTGGGAAGGCTGCAAGTTTCTTGTCAGTGTGACGAGAAACCACGGGAGCAGAGAAGCCAGCCAGGAGGTTATTGCAGAGTCCAGGACAGAGGATCGGTGGCAGGACCATGGTGGCAGTGACAGAGGTAGCAGGCAGTGGGCAAATTAGGGAACATTTGGAAGATTTTAAAGATGGAGTTTCTGGGACTGATGATGGATTGATTATATAAAGGGTGTATATGAGAGAGAGAGAGAGAGAGAGAGAGAGAGAGAGATTGGTCAAATCCAGGGTCTCATTTTTCTCTTTTTCTGAGGATGCAGATTAAATCAAGATCAAGGCAGTCATTTGTCTTCGACTCTTAGACCCTTAACACCAAGCCTAGCACCTAAGAGCTGTAGTTTATGCAGCTGTTAGCAGGGAGGAGCTCTGATTTCAGATAACAGGACCATGGCGTGGGGGTTTCCTTCGTTGTTCTATAATTGACAGCAGTCTGTTGGTCAGGTTTGGAAAATCTGGTAACCAGAGGTCTTACCCTTAGTAGCCTCTGTTTCCCACGCCCCTACTCTCTTTTCTACTCTTTTACCTGGAATGCAGCATTTCATTTTGTTAGCTGAGGCAAGCCACTTTGTAAACGTTCATCCCTATAACCCAAGAAAGAGCATTTTCTATCCCTTCCAAAAGTGAAATCTCAGTGTGGCATTTGTCATGATTTCAAGACAAGTTGGCAGAAAGCATTGGTCAGGGCTGATTATAATACTTTTGGGTCCTGTGCCTGTAACTCCAGGAGCTGCAACCAAGTGGCGCCTGCAAAGTCCAACAGGGTAGGCCTCCTCAGGCACCCATAACACAGTAGTAGGAAGAAAGGGCAAAATCCAGTCTCTCTCTCTCTTTCCTCCCCCCCCAAAGAGCTTGCAGTTTATGGAAATGAACTCCATTAAAAACTATACTCAATAACTTGGAAAGAATAATAGCAAAAGAAAATAGCAGAAGAAAAAGCTTGTCTTTTATATGCTTCCCAATCTCTCTCCTTCTCTGCTGCTTACTGCCTGTTTTAGACCCCTCCTGCTCAGATCTCCCCCATTCCCACAAGAGCCTCCCATTTGCATCCCGGCTTCTCGCCAGTCATATACCCTTTTATTTTTTTACCCCACAGAGATTTTTCCAAATTATAAGTTCGGTCTCGTCACTTTCCCCCTAAAAATGTTGCCCCCATTATCTGGTTATCTACAGAACAAGCCCTGAGCTTTAAGTCCTTCCTAATCTGGGCCCAATTTACCTGTACCTTTCCATGTGCTCCCATGCCATCATTTCGACCCTGTGTTCTCTTGATACTGGCCACACTTGGAGTTCCTTTAGTAAGATTAAGGTGTATATCCGAGCCTTTGATTTTCTCTGTGCTGTTCCTTTTGCCTTCAGTGCTCTTTCCTTTTTCCTTGAAAACTCCATACTGATTCTCCAGTGCTTGGCTCAAAGCACCTCTTCTGTAAGACCTCATACATCTCCTTCCTGACACATCCTCTCCATGCTGCCATAGCAATTTTTTAAAACCTCACATGACTCTTACAACGCAGAAGCTAATAACCAAAGCCAGTATTTGTGAGGAGCTTTCTATGTGCAAGGGACTCTCCGTGAGGCCCTTTCTCTTGACAGTAATGTGAATATATGTCTCCCATATGAGACTGCTTGAGCATCAAGTTTTGTTTACATCCTGTAACCTTTCAGGCTTTAGTAATGTATCCGAGGCACAGTAGATGTTTATGAGTTGTCCATTGATTAAAGACCCGAAGATTTTGGTTTTGATCTTGTTGGTTCTTAAGCACTTCCTGATGATTGTAAGAATACTGGTAAGATTTTGTAAGAGTTACTATTAGAATTCTGAAAAGACTAAAATATGCCCCTTTGCACTGGGATGAGGTTGGCGGGGGGCGGGGGGGGAATGCCTCATTCCCCAAAGGCCACGCCACAATTTATCACAGAGGGAAAACCAATTCACTCCTCTCTCGTATTAAGAGCATTTTCAACTTCCTGGCATTGCAGATCTAACATGTTTTGGATAAGAAGATGAAATGTAATCGAGTTACCCAGCGTGTTGTGAGGGTCTATTCGCATGTGTGCTAAATAAATAACTCAGTTTTCTTCCCTTCCCCTTGTCCCTTGTAGAGTTTAAAATGTTTTAAGGAGTTCTGGTATAAAAACAGAGAACAAGTAAAAAAGTTTTTCTTCACTCTGAAAAGTTGCAAGGGATACTAGGAGTTTCTATTCAGTTTGTTGGAATTAAAAATGTCACAAATATAGGGAATGATGTGGATTCAGCTTTCTCCTCAAGCTGCTTTGGACCCAGAAGGATGGAAAATCTGCAAACAGCTGCTTGTTCTTGTAACTGCAGGGGAAAGTAGCTAATCTAAATTCCTACTATGAGAACTCTAGGATGTGAAGGAATATTTTTTTCCATGATGAGAAAGAGAAGGTTTAAAAAAAATGGAGATACTTGCATGACAGGCTGATTGGTAGACGTGTAATCAGGCCCTTCAAAACCTGGATTAAGACTGTTAATGTAAGGAGACCAAAATTAATGCCTGTGTGAGGGTGGAAAAAAATTTCCCTTCTTCCCTTCTAGGTTCTTTGGCTGGTTTAATAATGAAACTGATACAAGACAGATTAATAGGAGAAAAACAAATTTCGTAGCCTAGGAGCCCCTTCAAACTATGACAGCAGTAGTGGTCTGGGAATACAAAAGGGAGGAAGACCTTTTGAGAGGACATGTTTGGAAAACAGAAGTTGCCCTGTTATGCAAGATTATCTCTGGCAATAGCTCTCCTCCTGGTGAAGGCCCCTTTTCCAATGTAAATTGAGGAGTTGAGTGGGAAGTAAAGAATTTTCCTGAATCTGCTAGGTTTTGATTGCCTTTAGCTCAAAATAATGCTCAAGCCAAAATGACATATTTTGGGGTAACAAATTCTGCTCCCCATCACCTGCCTCTGGGATGAGTGCCCGGATATGCAGAGATACCCTGCTGAGAACACAGCAGTATAGCCTAGCACAAAGCCAGAGGGGAATGTTTAGTGTAAAAGGAGGCGGTACCATTCCGATGCCTTCCAAACAGACTCCAGGAATCTTGGACCTAAATTTCTCAAGACAGGAGACTAAAAATACTAGCAGGACATGTTCCTGTCCCAGAGCCTAACAAGGAGACACAAATATTGGTGTGAAATGAAACTTATCCTATCCATTCCACAAAAGGAAAACAGAATCAGTAGCAGCTACCAAAGGAAAGTCCCCATCGGGCAAGCAAAGAGTGACCCCAGTGGTGGTGGGAGCACCTCAGTGGCACCTCATGTGACCAACCTGGAAAGAGAAGAACTTCAGGAGACTTGGATTTCCACTCATTTTACTGGCTGTCCAAGGGAAGCTGCAGTTAGGTTCCTCATTTAGGGAGCACAAGAAATGTAGAAAAATGTAGAAATGTAGAAAAACACAAAACTGAACAAATCATTTATAAGGTGTACTGCCCCCCAGCCATTATGTCTAGACACGATGGGGTTCATACTGACTAATCTTGTGAGTGTGTGAGTTGGGAGAGGTGGAGCTTAGAGGCTTTTCCCTGCAGTTCTTGCTATGGTGTCCTATAATGCACTGTTTGTGTGTGTCTCTCTCTTGCCAGATTGTGAACTATTTGGGAGAAAGAAGCAAACATTATTTTTGTGCCTCTAGAACTTAACTGAGAACCTCGACTGTTGGTTGACTAACAAATCTTGGTGAGGGCCACCTGGGGCACAGTCAGTTAAGCGAATGACTCGGTTTCCGCTCAGGTTGTGATCTCAAGGTCATGAGATCGAGCCCTGCGTCAGTCAGTCTCTGTGCTCAGCACCGAGTCTGCATGAGATTCTCTGCCTCTGCCCCTCCCACCACTTGCATTTTCTCTCTCTCAAATAAATAAAACCTTTAAACAAACAAACAAAACCTTGAATGAATCAGTGAGTGAATAGATGAGGACATGCTTTGGTTCTCTCTTTGCCCCTGAAGCCTGACTCCACATGCAGATTTGGTTACCAACTCGGGTCCTTGGGCTCTCCAAGCAAAGAAATTAAGTGGGGCCAAACAGGAATTCCAGGCAAGACTTTTACTGGGGCTTATGCTCCTGAGCAAGGGAGATAGCACAAAGGAAAGGGTCCTTCAGGCTGACTCCCCAAACAAAGGCCTGGGAAAGTTTTAAAAGAGGCTAAGGCAGGAAAGGAGTGACTTCTAAGGATGCAGGGGCAGGAAGAGACACAGAAAGTGTTGTGTGCAGATGCAGTAGATAGCACAAGCTGTCATGCATGGCATGTCTCCTTAGCATGTTAAATCTCCATCCAGGGCATGATTTTTAGTATTATAATAGGGGGAAAGGTCAGTGCTGGGGTACCCCTTGGCACAGACTGGTTTGGTCAGGTCTTAGTGTCTTTGTAGTCAAGTTCCTCCTTTGGTAAGCAGTCTGCTTCTGCATTCCTGCAAGATAGGCTGCTCCAGAGGCATAGGGTTTCTGCTATCAAGGAATGCTGGGTTTCACAATCAGGGTTGAAGGGACCCAAGTCCAGTCCCTGCTATATCTCACTTCTAAAAAGTATTTCTGTAAAAGCTGAGAAAGTTTACCACTAGCACAGTCTCTTACATTTTAAAGGTGTAGGATTGAGAATAATTGCTTATCAAAAAGACTGATTCATGATTGACAGGTGCCTTCAGTGGGCAGGAGACAAAGACTTTTTTGACATGTGTCTCCAGATGCTCTTTGAAGACAGCCCAGCTTCCCATGGCTCTGACAGGGGACCAAAGCACCACTCACCTCTACTTCAACACTTTTATACCATAGTTCATGTGATTTTCAGGCTCTGGGAATGGGGGTGCCAAAGGGAGCTGTGGCAGAATGCATGTATGGGGACCCCGCCTATCTATATGAAGTTCAGTACAGATTAAGCAGGTTAGCAGTGTGTCTTTATTTGGTTTTTGTTTACTTTGCTGTATTATAAGCTTGTTATCAGCATCATTATCATCATCGTCATCATTGTCATCACCCCATCAAAACACCTGTGAGGGCAGGTTAGGCTTCAAACAAGCAAACCACAAATTCAGGCAAGCCCTAAGTGTATTCAAGAACAGACAGATGGTAGAAGTAATTTACACTCTTGAACCCAATCTCTGTGAGGATGGTCCTCAAATGGAGAGCTTGGGAGAGGTATCTTTTTGTGATGAACATCTTTGTCTTTCATGAGGAACTCGGACACAACTTACCCCTATGGATGGGCTGTGGAAAATCCCTCAATGGGACCTGTTAGCAAAAAGCCCGCTCTTGTTTCTGGGATAATTATAAATTAGTTGACAAGTTTTGTGATTCCCAAACCATGAGAACATTTTATCATGCTGCAGTTATTTTAGCCTGTGCTAGGGCAGAATTGTTTCCATCCACAGCTGTTTTTCAGCAGTTCACAATTACCCCACTCTGCTAAATTGCTTTAAAAGTAATTAGATTTGAATGATTTAATTATGGGGCTGATGATTTCTGTAAGATTTGCAAGTCTCTAGCATTTAAGCTCCTATAACACACTGTGACACTTGCATCTCATGGAAGGAGATTAGTAGGTAGTTGGGTGACCCGGGAAGTTTAGAACCTGTCTTGCCCCAGCCTCTTGCCCCTGGAACTGGAGGGAGAAAAGAATGAGTCGAGGCAGAGGGCCTGCTGGGGCCTAACCTGGTCTCTGACTTGGCCAGCTCGAGGTCTCACACGGTCCCTCTCACCTGGAGTGTGCTGGCCCAAGCTGACAGAAGGGGGACTTCCTGGATTCCATTTTCTCTTCAGTCTCTGAGCTTTGTCCTTCACGGGGAAGAAGGGCAAGCCCAAGGAAAAAGTGCCCCAAGAAACAGAAAGGGCCGAATGCTGCAGGCAGCCTTATAAGCAAGAGATTCTTGTTCACCTGAAGAAGCCTGTTGAGCCAGACAATGGGGATGCCAGGGTGGTGGGAGCTAACAGCAACAAAAAAGGAAACAAAAGCTGCCCCCAGAAAACAACACTCCAAAGCTGTGTGTTCCTGTAAAACTTTTTCATAAGCATGGTGGTGTCCCTGGATTTACTCTTCAGTAAACAGAGAAATGATGCATGTCATTGAATCAATTCGGTCTAAAGTTGGTGTTGTATTAATGATAGACCTTACAGTCTTTGGAATAAATCTGCTTTAGAGGAATCAAATAATTATATGGAAACATCCAAATGCTGTTTCACAGTTATTCAAACAGTGAACATGTGTTAAACATGTTTTTTACTATAGCTGCCCAAATCTGGCTTGTCAGTGGAAACACCTGGGGAGCTTTCAGTTGAGCCCTTAGAAATCTGTTTTTCCAAGTTACCAGGTCTTTGCTGTAACTGTGCCGTGCTGCCTCCACGAGTAGGCATTTTGTTTATGTTCCTTATTTAAGCACTTGTCTCTGTGTTTTTCTTCCAAAGCCTGACTATTCTTTAGGCTCAGTTCATGTCTCTTATCTTGGAAGAGACCTTCTCTGAGTACCTGATTGAGCAAAGTGCTCTATTATCTGAATACTTACAGAATCAATTTCCCATTTTCTATCCTTCGTCATTTTTGAGGTCTGTGGATCTGGTTCCCTCTGACCTGGGGACAACCAAGTATATAACTCTTTAAGATCTCCAAGAGATGAATGGCCACACAAACGGATGTTCAATGTACATTTACTACTTTTTTTAAAAAAACAGAATTTTAAACCTAAATTGATTAATGTTAAATACTTCAGCTTTGAGCCTACTTAGAAATTTGTCTATTGCTAAGGAGACCATGAAATTACTGTGAAATTGGTGGTCTAAATGGCAGTGGTGGGGATTCTTTAAAAAAGAAGCTTTCTAAGCCTAGGGCTGGGTAACACTAAAAGGGACTGGAGGCTCTTTCTGTGCAGATCTCAAAGGTAAGCCAGTCTCTGGGATAGCCAAGTGGATTAAGGGGCTGAATGAGAAGGTCCATATTGTTATTCTTACATGAAGTAGTACAGTACAGGCAGTCTTCCCTTGCCTGGCTCCAATATGCATACATTTCAGTTACTAAAATTTAGTTAAATAACATGAGTCCCACAAAAATATTAAAAAATTACCATAGCGTCCTAAGGAATTGCAAAATAATTTATGACTCAGTCCAGGCAACAGACAAATAACTATGTGAATAACATGCACGTCATGATCAGTAACCAATCATGCCATTTATATTGAAGTCTGCAGTGACTGGTCAATACACACCTGGTTTTCAGTTTGCACAGACAGCAAAGCATGTAGTTGTGTTACCTCCTCATCTCCCCCTGATAAACCCACCCAACATTTTATAAAAATGGATAGTCAAGAGGAATTTGACCAACAAAAATGAAAGGGCAACAAAGAAATGAAAATTGAAATCTGAATCCAACACAAATGGAGCCATAGAAGGGATTGTTGACTGTGGGAATGTTGACCCTGCTTTCTGAGAGATTCTAAACAGGCAGCTGGAAGAACTTAGGGAAGATGAAATTGTGGATCTAAATTAAGGAAAGTGTGACGTAAAGGATGAAGATACGCCAGAGGAAGTGGGGATATCTGGCAAAGAACTTCACATTAAAGGAACTCTCAGAAATATTTCATGGCATTGGAAGAATAAAGGATATAATATTGGAAGTAGATCCTAACACAGAAAGGAGTATGACAGTTCATCAGCATATGAACTATGCTTTCTCTATATCCTAAATTACATGATGATGAGGAGAAGGCAAACACTGTTCAAGCTGCCCTTGACAGGTTGTTTTTTTTTTTACTAACAAATAAAACATTTTGATTTTTAATGTTCCTGATGTTTTAAATTGCAATGTACGAAATAAATGTTAGTTTTACTATTTCTTTTCATTTCCCTATCCACTTATAACCAACAATAAGTTTTTAATATTATGATAAATTCTTTAAAGGTCACAGAACAATTGTAATTTTTTCATTGATTACTAAGATTGCTTTGCATGGTTTCAGCTTATATGGTCATTTTTATAGTCCTGCACTGCCATGCAAAGTGAGTGAATGGTGAGTTACCTGTTTTAGTCAAAGTAGACTAAATTTAGTAGACTAAATTAAGAATTTTTGTTGTAATATCTGGAGTAAACACTAAAAATAAAAGTCACATTAAAAAGGTATAGCTAAAAAGCTAATAGAAGAATTCAAAGATTATTTAAAATTAATCAATTCAAAAGGAGGTAGGAAATGAAAAATAATGAAACAAAAAGCATTGTTTTAGGTAGCAACAAGATGACAAACTTAAAGCCGTCTATAGCAACAATTACATTAAATGTACATGTACTAACCACCTTAATTAAGTCAGAGATTGTCAGAATAGATAAAAAAATCAAGTGTCAACTATATACTAATTTCAAAAGACACAATTTAACATAAAGACACTTATAGATAAAGGTAAAAGCATAGGAAAAAGACGTCCTATACAAACAGAAGTATAAGAATGGTAGTATAGCTTTTTAATGTCAAAGGTAGTAGACATCAGCAAAGAGATTATTGGAGATAATGAGGGACACTTCATAATGATAAAAAAGATTAATTCAGGGGCGTCTGGATGGCTCAGTTGGTTAAGTGTCTGCCTTCGGCTCAGGTCATGATTCCTGGGTCCTGGGGTCAAGCCCTGTGTCAGGCTCCCCACTCAGTGGGGAGTCTGTCTCTCCTCCTCCCTTTGCACCATCTCCCCCCCACCCTGCTCATACTGTCTCTCAAATAAATAAATAAAATATTTTAAAAAAAGATTAATTCATCAAGAAAACAATCATGAATGCGTACATATTCAGTAATTTCAAAATACAAGAAATAACTGATGTAATAAAGGGATAAATAGAAAAATCAGCAATCATCATTAGTGATTTTAACACCCCTTTCTCAGTAATTGACAGAATACTTAGTCAAATTCAGGACAGATAAGGACTTGAACCACATGCTGACCCAGCATTGCCAGAATATGACCCATAACCTCTGTAGCATACACAGTTTTTCCAGTGCACATAGGTAAGGGACTTCCATCAAAATAGACCATATGCTGGTGCATTATATTTCAAAAGACTGAAATATTACACAGCATATTTTGTTACTAAAGCTAGAGATAAATAGCGATAACATAATGTATGAGTAATATGTAAGACAATTTCTTAAAAAATTTGTATTTTTATAAGCATATTTTGCTTGGGTCCAATCATCTTATTTATCTCTTCATATATGTTCTTTAGAACTATCATAAAGAGGCTTCATCCCATTGCTTTATTTTGAACATTGTAAAATGGCAGCATTGAGCTCATAGGAGTTATGATATTTGAATTAATTAGAAGAGCACCCAGTGGTGCTTTAGGCAACAGACGATGAAAAGGGTTAGCTATTAGAGGAACAAGGATGCCAAGTGCTTTGGTTTTCCTTATCTTAATGGCATATAAAGAACTTATAAATTTCCCCAATTTTTTTTAAGCCTCTCTACCAATCTCTGTCTTTTAACTGAATTTTTTTAGACAAATTCTTAGCAAATGTTAGGCCTTAAGTCTGTATTTTTAAGTTTTTGTTTATCCTTTCTGTTTTTAGTTTCTGTTTTCTTTTTCCTACCTTTCTGTGGGTTACTTTAGTAATTTTTAGAAATCCATTTTTATTTATCATTTTTACATATTATCTGCAGTGTTTTTGAGTGTATCACTTGATATAGCCTTTTTATTGATTGCCTCAGGTATTTTATTATCTATATATCTATGAATCTATATGACACATAGTCTACTGGTGTCAACACTACCAGTTAGAATGGCGAATGGTGTATAAGAACTTTATCCTACCTTATATCCCTTTGCTCTCTTCTATTTATAATATAATTGTCTTAAGTAAATACTAAATTTAAAAAGTTTCTCTATGTATACTGAGAACCAAATCAGAGAGCATTAAAACTTTTGCTTCAATTGTCAAGCATAATTTAGAAAACTCAAGAGGGAAAGGTAAAGTTTTCTTTCTTTATATCTTTGCTCTTTCCAGTGTTCTTTCTTCCTTCTTGATGCCCCAGGATTCCTTCCTTTATCATTTCTTTATGTTTAGAGAAGGGAGGCATGGTTTGTTGCAGACCGGTGGGGACTGAAATCCAGGTTCCCTAGTTGACCTCCAGTGACATTCACTCCCCATTACTGCTGGGTGAGGTGGGAGCTGTGGACACCCTCACTATGCCTCCATTTACAGCACCCTGGTACCTGTCCTTAGTTTGAGGTCCCTAGCCTACCTGCCTTTTGTCCTGTACCTTGCAGAGTCTTCTTCTGTTTCTTTTATATGTAATTTCTGAGATCTTTAGCTGTACTTAATATAAGAATAGGGAAAAGTATGGGTACTCCATCTTTGCAGATGTGGAAATCTTAGAAAATATTTTTAATGCAATTGATAATGAAAACACTTATCAAATTTTGTGAGGTGCTTCTAAAGAAGTACTTAGAGATATATAACTCTAAAAACTTATATTAAGGGGTGCCTGGGTGGCTCAGTTGGTTAGGCGACTGCCTTCGGCTCAGGTCATGATCCTGGAGTCCCAGGATTGAGTCCCGCATCGGGCTCCCTGCTCGGCAGGGAGTCTGCTTCTCCCTCTGACCCTCTTCCCTCTCGTGCTCCTCTCTCTCTCTCTATCTCATTCTCTCTCTCAAATAAATAAATAAAATCTTTAAAAAAAAAAAACTTATATTAGGAAATAAAAATGATCTACAATTGGTGACCTAAACCTCCACCTTAGAAAGCTAGAATAAAGAGGGCAAATTCAATCTAAGTAAATAGTAAAAGGAAATAATCATGATAAAACACAACAAATGGACTAGAGAACAGAAGAATAGAAAAATTCGTTGAAGTCAACAGCTCTTTCTCTGACAAGATCAGCAAAATTGATAAGCCTCCAGCTAGAGGGATGAAGAAAAAGAGAGGAAAAAGAGAGAAGACACAACGTACCAGTACTGTCAATTCTGATATAACGCTTGTTTCAAGATGTGAATTTTTTCCAATGCAATTGATACACTGGGTAACACTTTGAGCATAATGCACTCTCACAGTTATTTGTGTGTGATTCTTGCCACAGGAAACACTGGGTGAATGCAGAAAACTGCACCCAGCTGAACCAAGCTACCTAGGAATACATAAAATGCACACAAGTGCAGATCTCAAACATCTACCAGCTACCTCATTTCAACAAATGAGTGATAAGCCACACCATCCACATGTGGAGTTGGAGCTTTCAGTCTAATTTTTGATAACTCTCCCTCCCTCACTTCATAATAACCCACAAGGTACAACCCTTCTGATGCCCACTTCCACAACTAAGTTTCAGGTCTTTTTTCAAAATGAAATGTCACATATGTTGTAGTATTTATGGATTTCTTTTTAAAATTTATTTATTTAGAGAAAGAGAGCACATGAACCTGGGGGGGGAGGGGGAAGGGGAGGCGCAGAGCGAGAGGTAGAGAGAGAATCCCAAGCAAGCTCCATACCCAGCACAGAGCCTGATGTGGGGCTTGATCTCATGACCCTGAGATTATGACCTGAGCCAAAACCAAGAGTCAGGTGCTTAACTGACTGAACCACCCCGGTGCCCCTATC